CCGTATGGGTAGACCCAAGGAGGATAAAATCCAGAGAGCTCAATGTAAATCCAGAGCAAATAATTTAAATAAAAACAGACCACTGACCACTGACCACTTTATATATATATATATATATATATATATATATATATACTAGCTCTCATGGGAAGAACGCTGAATTGTATACAGATTCAAAGTTCAAAGTTATTATAAACTTAATATACTATTGGGGTATAAATTCACAATATAGTGTGTTGGTGGGGAGATATCTGGAAAAAATGGTGCATACTTTAAGCTTATATAGTACATGTTTTTTTCCGTTGGGGTAAAAATACACAGCGATGGTTGGGTATTGTACCATATTCGAGACGCCCCTTGGATTGATACTCTTGTTGCGGCCGCCTTTGGCCGCTCCCTAAAACGGAAGAGAATAGGGCATTTCAACCTTGACCTTTCGATCGTGTTCCCGACACGCTGGTAATTTCGTTTTAGAGATGAGCTAATTACCTTTTTGTTCATTGGTATTACGAAACTAGTCGTAATATACATCTTAGCAATTTTTAGACCTTACTTTTTGCGTAGCAAATCTCAACTCATTTTTTAGAGATTTTTATAGCATTTTAGCGAGACCATTTCTGTTGTTAGCATAACACAGCGACTTCTCGACGAATTCGCGGTCAGCGCCTAGTCGTTCGCCTTCTTCCATTGCCCCCGGGCCCGCCCCTTATGGGACCATGTCGGCGAGCTGACGGCTCGTCTCGCTCCCGAAAAGCTTGTGCCCATGGATCGCGCATACGCGTGTGACAATGTGTCGCCCCCGTATTCCGGGGTGAAACGGATGGTGTTTCTCACGCTGCTAGCTTGGCCCGAATGGTGATATGGACGACGCGAGAGGAGGAAGTCTTGCGGGGTAACCGTCTTTCTCATCAGGATCTGATCCGATTCTTTGAGCATCAGCTCAAGACGAAGATTAGAACTGATAGAAAACACTTGCATTCGACAGTCTTCAGCGAAAGGTGGGTGACTAGGCGAGCTTGGTTCGTGTGAACGGGGCTAGCCTTGATTTTCTCTTTTAGGTCAAGCCTACGTTACATCGGGGTGGCTTCCTGTGATGCCCTCCCCTTGGTTAGGTTAGACAAGCTTTGGTGTACCTAGTTAATGCGAGTAAGTGTTGTTCCCGGCCTGCCCCGGCCACATCTTTAGTTATGATCCAGCCTGAGATTCCCAACCTCCCCAGTTTGTTTTTTGGCCCCCACTTTCCATCTCGACTGGGTCAGCTTTATACTTCCCCATGCCCGTATGATTTTTTATCACCTTTCCCACTCCCTTAGCGAGAGAGCTGCTTGATTTTGTTCCAATGGGCAGAATACAGTGTTCTCCCTGCCTTTTGAAGGTTGGACGGGCCCTACTAACATCAGTTAACGTTTAATTTCATTTATGTTAATATTTTAGTTCGTTATTGGGTTCATCTCCCCCACCCTCTCATTTTCTCATCTTAGAATTTTTGTACATATGTGTTAGTATCATTATGACATGGGGCGCGTTTTGTAGGTCTCCCTAGAGTGGATGTGGTATTATGGTGCATGGAGGATCGATTGGTGACGGACGATTTCTTATGGTGAATGAGTAAATTGTAATGTCTGAATGGGTCGTGAATCAAATTAGCTAGGTATAAGATAGTTAGTGAAGACCAGCCTTATCCCCTCCCCCTTTTCGGCCTTGTGCCACAATTTTGTATTTTTTACAAAATAAATCCCGGTCAGCGCCTAGTCGTTTAAGTCTTGAACGACAGATTGGTTGAATCTGCCTTCGGACGGGGAGGAACCCGAAAGAGGCTACGCCGAAGGGCGAATTCTCTTTCGGGGAGGTAAACCGACCCTGAACTCGTTTATACGGGTTCCATGGGCATATTTTTGGCCGAGTCCACGGGTTCGGAGAGCCCACGTTAAAAAGGCCTTGTGCCACATGACGCCCTCGTGGGGGAGGGTGACTGAATATTGTCAGTGCCTGAACGGTCGGTACGCAGGCTCTTGGCCTTCGTGGCCAGGACGTCGACCAGGACTGTGTATTTATTTACGCTCCCATTTTTTTTTGTCTGCCAACTTGACGATAGTTGGAAACTACCTTTCTTTCTCTATTTCGCCTCTTTACTTCTGGATCCTTGCCCATGTTCGACTCTCGGCATTCCGTCCTTACTGGCTGCCCGCACGTCGTCCCTAACCTTTCCCGTACACTAGGGATATGATTATTACAGGAGGTTTCGATATCGGACTCAACCAGCAGACACGCAACGCCAGCACCGGATATTCGATACGCCCAACAACATCGCAATGCCAGCTCCTCTTTCCTTCCCAACACGTCCAGTTGGAAACCAGACCAGCAGCGACCATCTGCGGCGACCAGCAGCGACCATCTGCGACGACCAGCAGCGATCATCTGCGGCGACCAGCAGCGATCACCTGTGACGACCAACCAACCTTCATCGTATACTATCTGTTGTAATTACTACGGGAGGTTTCGACACCGACCTCGACCAGCAATGCCTGCACTGCAACGTCCAAACGTCGACACGACCGGAACGTCTGCACCTCGACTCCAACCGTCGACACGACCGGAACGTCTGCATCTCGACTCCAACCGACGACACGACCAGTCCGACCACCATTACCATGATTGGCAGACCAATATACCCCACTGTCTCTTCTTTATATAATAAACTTAGCATTAATCATATATATCCTCGTTCTGTTGTCCATTTTGTTTCACCTTGTCAGATTTAACGTCTTTAATACGAAAAGTGTTAGCGGGCTTCTTGTAACCTCATCACCTAACGATACGGGGGCGCTCGGGCCGCGGTTTCATATCGCACCCCCCTCCAGGGGGTCCGCTACATTTTTAATCTTTCTATTGAGAATTGTGCCGACATTGATGCCGTTGTACCTTCTCGCAAATACCAGGTGAAACCACAATCTTCCCCATGGATCACACCGGGTAGTTAGCTCTAGCAGCAAAGAAATCACAAGGACCCGAGAAGTTCATGGTGTCATTTTTCAAGTCATACAAAGATTTTGATGACTTGACAGACAGACAAAAGAAAAACGTAACAAAACGATTGGTTGATATGTTTAATAAATTCATTGAGGTAAACCAGTTTTCGCTTTCACTGAACGATCTCCTTGATTACCTTGAAAAAGAAAAAAAGTGTTGCTGTAGTTTCCTTCTCACCATTAGAATGTTTCATCCATGCATTTTATGGTTCTCAGAAAAGATAAGACAGGTTTGTTATTTCCTCAGTCAAAAAGACATTGAGTTTCAAACAACTAATGCAGTCCTATCCATCAGAAAGTCCTTAAGGCCTCAAACATATTCTGTTTTGAATGGCAAAGGAAGAGGCCTTGACTACAAGAACCTTGTAACCGAAACAATAACAAGATGGTCAAACCGTTGAATGACTGATCTGGAGAATTTTCCTTGACTATGTACTTGAGAGATGGTGATGAGGGTGCTGGTACAACGCCAGTGCTTAAATAAGATGAGTTGAGGATGGTGACGACGACGATGAAGACCACATATTTTAGTATGGTATCATTCCTCTGAAACTTACACGGAATATTGGTGGTAGAGATTTTATGGCAGAACAAAACTCGATTCTACACGATCACTGAGACCAGTCTATTTGATTAAAGAAGTAGAAAATAATCTTGACCTTCTTAACTTCATGGTTAAAGAAACAGATCACGCTCGGAATGATTTAAATACTAATGGTTTATCAGTTAATGTTGGTGATGACAATTTTAGTGTGTCATGTGTAATCAAAGGAAATGCCACAACAACAATCAAATTGAAGATGTTCACCATAGATTGTTGTAGAGATCCGGCCCTTATCTCATTCATGTCACATCAAGATACATTGGGAGAAAATTGTGTATGATTTGCAAAACAACAGATCACACAGTTCGAACACATGATGCTTTTAGATGGACTTGAGGATTTTTTTATGCATAACAATTTGATGATATATTTTCTGATTTGATAAGTGCAATGTTCACTCATATTTTTTTTTAAATATTGCCATTTTTTTTACTCCCAGGACATCCTTCTAGGGTCCATGGACCAGCAAGGGGTTGAAATGTGTTCAAATAAGTTTTTTGATTCATATGTTCACGAATCAGAAAATATATACTTTACCCATGTCTAGTGGCCATCTTTTAATTTGAGAAGTGCAATTTTCAGCTGAATTTTCCATAAAATATTGCCATTTTTGAACCCTGAAAGATCCTTCTAGGGCCCATTATGGTTATGGTTTAATTATGGTTTCAAGTTATACTCATTTGTTTATCAACATCTATCTATATACAAAATTCTATGATTTCCATTAGACTGTCCATCATACCTTCTAAAATGATCATACATTGACTAATTGAAACCAAATTTTGAAGAGAAGTGCAAACAGGTAAAGGAGTACAAAGTACAGTTAGTCTTACTAGGGTGCATAAAAACCATGAAGTAGGGTTTTTTCTAAATATTTTTCCAAACAAATCAGTTTATTCAAATTTTAATGATTGGTTTCCGAAATTGAACAAAACAGTTTGATAAAAATGCTAGCAATAACTTCAGCAATACTAAATACTGTGCCAAGCATTTCAGCATCAAATTCAATTTAATCTTTACCTTCTGTTCAAAGTATGAAACATTGCTTTCTTAGTTACACTTCAGTTTGGAATAAAATGAGTGGCTGGATTTTTTTTGTCTATACTGAAATGCTTAACCTAAATTAAGAGGTGGGAATAAATTTCATATTTAATAATAGCATATTGATGTCTTGGGTGAATTTTTCTTTAAAAAAGAATAATCATCCCAGGCATCTGTTTGGCACTCAAAGATGGTTATGCCAATATTGTAAAAATAAAAAACTTGACAACAATTATAAAAAATATAGAAGTGAGAATTTATTAATGTTAAAAAATAAAACTTTAATTCCAATTTTCTTCTGAGTTTGAGCAATACAGAATTCAGAATTAATCCCGCCAATTGACTAAGACTTCATCTGTCCGGAATCTGAAAAAAAGTAAAAGAAATTAAAATGTGATGAATGCCCAACAAAAACACACCAACTGTCTTTATAGTGTGTGTGTGTGCGCACAGATATAGATGAGTGGGCATTTATATTTCTATATGTTTTTTTCTCCTTTGACAAGTTGGAATATACAAGTCTTATTGTCTTTCTAATGTCTTTTATTTTATTTTCCTTCTGTCAATTAGTTTTAATCTTGAGAAAAAATTTGTCCTTATTCCCTTTGTAAATGTTTCAAACCCTCCAGTTATTTTTTGTTTTGAAAATGTCCTCTTTTATAAAATTTTATTTCTATATGTATGTACAATTATACAAAAAAAAGGGTCCAATATATATATATATATATATATATATATATATATATATATGTGTGTGTGTGTGTGTGTGTGTGTATGTATGTATGTATGTACATTCATTCACTCACACACACACATATATACATATATATAAAATAAAAAAACATTGTACTTTCAGAGGACTAATTTGATATCAATAACACCAAAGGCTCTAATATAGAGAAACAAACAGACTTTTAAAATTTCAGCCTCTTCATATTTATATTAGTTAAAAGCAGGACTGTTTTTTGTTTTTGTCAAAAAGAAACACCATTTACCAAATTTTTTTTCAATGAATAATGAATTTTTACAAGATTTGTTTTCTTTTTTTAAAAATTTTAATTAGAAAAATTTAAGTTTTAAATCTTTAAAAATTTTGTATTAATTTCAGCCTTTTAGATATTATTATTAAATAAAAACTATATTTACAAATCATTAATGGAAAAGCTTAATACAAATCATCAAAAACCAATATTTTAAAAAAAAATTTTAATTTTTTTTGAATGTGTATAAACATTCCAATATTTGTAAGTACAGGCAACCATACACATTATTAGAAAATAAGTGCAATAACTATAGTAAAATTAAACCAACATTTCTAAAATTCAATAAAACATTAGATTATGAAGAATATTTTCTTAAATTTTTAAGATTACTGAGTACTTAAGAATTATATAGAAAAGGTGCTCATATCATATTCTTCAATTATTTTTAACAGATAAAGTCTTTGTAGATCTATCATCAGGCTGTCAACATGTCAAAACAGCTACTGTTGGGTTAAAAAATGCATTTCTGTGATATTTTAAACTTAAAGTAAATAATATTTGTTTCAAATAAGATTAATACTTTAGATCAGCTAATATTCTACAATAAACTTTCAGAAAAGCATATTTTATTTTTTGAAAGTTTTTGCTAATAAAAAGAATAACATTGTGATGGAAGTTGACTAAAAAAAACCAAAAAAAACCCATCCTTCCAGTCAATTTAAACTAGTTTTTGAAATACTGTAAAGTATTTTGTTTATATGAAATATTAAATTTAATCTACTAGCTTGAAATTAAAACTAAAATAAAAGTTTCAAGAATGATATTTCATTTTTTTTAAATCATTTTAAACCTTAAGTATCACATTTTTTGTGAAGGTCCCTAATGTATATATAGCTCAGTCTGTTGATATAAAGGACTTAAATTACAAAGACTGTTTGCCTGAAAAGCATTACCCTCCATTTCTTAGGAGCTTTGAAGTAATAAAAATATGATATACATTATTCTGCTTTCACAATTGAATACTTGATAGATAATATTCAGCTTTTGTGCATATACATGTTTGTGTTGACATGATTACTAGAGGTAATGATATGTGTGTTTTATGCTGTATTTTTGCTGACGTTACATTCTGGAATACAGATTTTTAAGAAATTGTAGGATATTATATATTAAAGAGTTCTTTCATGTTGGTTGTTTGATCTTGCTTGGTGGCATATCAACACCTCTATGGGTTATTTGATACTGAAATCTAACTATTTTGTACATAAAATAATAGCTTCAACTACAGATATTTTGTACATAATTTTATACTTTCAGAGTAAAGGTATGTCTTTTTAGATATATATTTTGTAGATCATAAAACATATTGTTGGTAATTTTACTATAAAAATGTACTTCTATATATATATTTTTTTAGTGTTGCGTTGATTGTCATTTTGCTATAAAAAATATATTGTTGGTCATTTTATTATATTTGTCTGGGGTTCACCATTTGCCTATAGCTGGGACCCTAGCAGGTGCTATCACCCCAGGTCAGGATGGATCTGGGAACAAAACAATTAAGAGGTGGTTCCACACTCCTCAAAACCTCCAATCTCCCAATTAGAGGCCTTTGTCCTTTATCATCATAACCCAAAACAATTAATGAATCTTAGTTTGTCATAAGAATTTATAAGTTTTAATAAGTGAAACTGTGGAATTTCCCCAATGTTAACAACTATAATCAGCTATTACTTTATGTCTCTACTCCTGTCTCATCTCTTACTTATCTTCTCTTTCTGTCTCTGATCCCACTAGCTGAACCCATGGAAATTTCATGAGTATTACCCAATACTTCCTTCTTTTTTTATTCTTTGATTGCAGCTTCTCATTCTCTCACATATCCGAAAATTATCTTCATTCACAGTTCATATTTTTATGTAAATGTTTTTATGCAAAGATTAGGTTAATATGAATAAAGAAGATGGAATATACAAATACAAAGTGTCCAATATTTATCGTTACACACAGATTAATTTTAATTAAAGAAATTTATTACTTTTTTTGGATGTTATACAATTTTTTTCAAAATAATAGTTATGATTATAATAAGACGTTTTTAAGATCATCCTTACTACATATGTGGAAAACTCACTCACTCACTCACATTTGGCTTGAGTATAATTGCTTAATAAATTGAAATGTTTCACATCAAAAGAAAAACAAACATTACATTTCAATATATTTCTAATATTTGCAAATCATTGTAATCTTTTAAATTCACATTTCTTTGTGAGAAATTTTAAATTTAAAGATTAACATAACAAAAATAAAAACACTATGGAAGAAATTTTCAATTTGAATATAAAATCTTGTAGCAATTAATATTTTATCATTTCAGGCATTAGATTTGGAAATTGCTAAAAAATTTAACTAAAAGAATTGCCATTTTAGAAATGTACAAGGCAAAGCACTCTTCAAAGAATATTGCCATATCATTAAAAGTGAATAGAATGTTTGTTTGGAGGACCATCAAATGGAGCCACAGCAACTCGAGAGTGCCTAGCAACCAATGCTCCTCACTTCATCTCACAGGAAGAATGGCCACCATCATACCCAGACCTTAATTCTCTTGACTACAGCATCTGGGGTATCTTACAAAACAAGATTTCTAATACACCCCATCACAGTTTGGAGTCTTTGATGGCAAAACTATCGAAGGAAAGGGACAAAATCCTCCAAAGTGTTATCCCTGCCTCATACGAGTCGTTGACTCAGAAGGGGGACATATTGAATAGCGTATCAAATAAGTTTATGGACATTTAGTTTCTGCTTCCTCATTGTAAAATATTTACAAATTGTTTTAATAAAGATGAAAAAAAACTCTGTAATGATAATTATTGAACACCCTTTATTCTCTGCTATATCTTTCTTTGTTTCTATCTCTCTACAAATAATTTTAATGTATTGAAATTTTTGTGCCTTTTCCAATGCAACCATACTATGGTAGAATAATATAGGAATGAATGACACTAACCTCTGCGTACATCCAGTGTCTTTCAATGGAGTGGTATAACCCATTTTATACATGAGAAGACCAGCATAAGCAATCATAGCACCATTATCAATACAAAACCTGAAAAAGACATTGAAGACATAATGTAATAATTATTCTATATTTAGATCTTTCATTGAAGAGTACAGGTTTGGAATAGGAAAAAGCAAAAGATTGATGGAATTCCTAGGGTGTAAATCAGTAGAGGGGATAGAATAAGAGAGAGCAAAAGATTGATGGAATTCCTAGGGTGTAAATCAGTAGAGGGAATAGAATAAGAGAGAGCAAAAGATTGATGGAATTCCTAGGGTGTAAATCAGTAGAGGGAATAGAATAAGAGAGAGCAAAAGATTGATGGAATTCCTAGGGTGTAAATCAGTAGAGGGAATAGAATAAGAGAGAGCAAAAGATTGATAAAATTCCTAGGGTATAAAAATTAAACTGAGGATGTTTCCAATGTGAACCCCAACAAAAAATAAAGTTCCAAGTGCTTGGAGGATTGCTGATGTAAACCAGAAGTGTCTCAATGAAAATGATCTGAATGAAACAACAAAAACAAAGATAGTTAGTTTGAAAAAAAAAAAAAAAAAAAAAAACACACACAATAGAATACAGACACAAAGCTTCTTTCAAAAAGTTCAAATATCATATACATGACAGATATAAATACTAGTCAAATCACTGTCTGGAAATAACATTTGTGAAACAAGAAAGGCCTAAGTATAATAATGAATAAATTTTAAATCAAATTTATGTTAATGGTAGGGTTTGAAGACAAGTTACCTTTCATCAGTAGCAAACAGCTTGGCACCTCTCTCCTTCGCCATTATCTCCATCATCTTTTGCAAGCGTAAATTGCCTAAATTAAAGAGAGAACAAAACTGATGAAATTAACAAAAGTTACAAAATAATTATATACTTCATATACACAAAAGGTCTATTATGTTAATTTAATGTAATGCCATATTTTCTTCTTTTCAGTTATTTCATCCCAAGTAAGGTGATAAAGCCATTAATGGTGTTACTGAGAGTGAAAGAAACTGAGAAAATGTTATTAAAGAGAAAGCACATGAGAAGAACAGTATTCCAGCTGACATAAGATAATGATTGACATTGCATTAAAACTTTTGAAGATTGAAGTTGACAGGAAAGCAAGAAGCCAGAAGAGAGTTCCACATTGAAAAGTGTGAGAGAAGAAACTATTAGCATAGAACTTAAAGTTACCTCTAGCAATTTCAACAGTAAAACAATCAAATCTAGCTGCCAATCTAGTATTGTGCTTAAATTTGTGAAGTCAAGGTACCAGAAAGGGATCTACACTAAAACAGCAGGAAAGTGAATGAAGATGCTAGGTCAGGACCTGTCAGGAAATGAATATGAGATAAATAATGTCACAAAGTATTAATAGATAGTTAGACATATGTCTGGTTTAAGCGATAGTCTAAAGGGTGGACATATGTCTGGTTTAAGCGATAGTCTAAAGGGTGGACAGAGGTCCAGTTTAAGCGATAGTCTAAAGGGTGGACAGAGGTCCAGTTTAAGCGATAGTCTAAAGGGTGGACAGAGGTCCAGTTTAAGCGATAGTCTAAAGGGTGGACAGAGGTCCAGTTTAAGCGATAGTCTAAAGGGTGGACAGAGGTCCAGTTTAAGCGATAGTCTAAAGGGTGGACACAGGTCCAGTTTAAGCGATAGTCTAAAGGGTGGACAGAGGTCCAGTTTAAGCGTTAGTCTAAAGGGTAGACAGAGGTCCAGTTTAAGCGATAGTCTAAAGGGTAGACAGAAGTCCAGTTTAAGCAATAGTCTAAAGGGTAGACAGAAGTCCAGTTTAAGCAATAGACTGAATGGTACACAAAGCTCCAGTTTCAGCAAGATTCAAAAGGTTAGAGATAGGTTCAGTTTAAAAAAGTTTCAAAAGGCTATACATAGGTTCAGTTTAAAGCAGTCAAGAATGTAGACATACATCCAGTTGATGCCAGAGTTAAAAAGACTGACATATGTCAAGTCTGCACAAGAATCAATAAAGTCAATATAGTTTGGGTCTAAGTGAGAATTGAAAAGGCCATTATGAGTCGAGTCGACACCAGAAACAAAGTTGGAACTTCTGTGAATCTATGTATGCAAGCTTCAGTTTCCTACCCAAAATATAAACAGAGAAAAAAAATGTGGTTTCATTAGTAGGCTTATTCAAACCTTACCCTTCCAGGCTGGCTCTGTGGCCAAACTGGTAGACACACACTTTAGCTCAAAAAGTGGTTTCCCTGATGATAAAAAAGGATGCAGTTTCAATTCCTATCAGAGGCACAATTTTACTTTAATAGAACTTCTCAATTTAGGCCAGTTGTGATTAATTTCACTAATGTTTTTAGTCACTGTACACATTTATTTTGTCCCCAATTTTTGCTCTGTTGAAAGAGGACCAGTAAACCAGTTTAGCTGTTTTTAACTGTTATTATATTTCAGTGTTACCATTTTATGTAGAGTGAGTGGCTATGGTTAAATGTAAAATAAATGATAGAACTGTTCAAGAAACTGAACTGACAAAGTTTGCAATAAGTAATAAAAAGAAAGAAAAGAAAAATAGAGCAAAAATTAAATAAAGCAAGCAAACAATATATGCAAGGCAAATCAACAGCAATAAGGCAAAGCAACAGTTATATGGCAAAAAGTTCACAAACTAAGAATTGGGGTTGACACACAAGAGCAAGTTCAGACAAGTGAATGCAGCGTTCTGACTTCAAGGCAAGACAGACCAGGACTGAGTCAGGTGAAACCAAGATCTGGCCTATTTTATAGGTTGGGAAAAAAGCATTTGTGCACTTCTGTCTGTAAATTGAAGAGGGGAAAGTATTTTACAATCATTTCTAGTAGGATTAGAACCAACATTTTACAGTAATATATATATTTTGTTGCTCCCTTTTTTTTGCCATGAATTGTTTTGTTTTTTTTATATTAAAATACATTTTAACATGTCTGTTTTTATTGCTCCAATTTATCTAGAAATAAATCAATATGACAGTCTTATGGAAAGTATTATTGTCCCAAGCAACCTTGATAAAACAGCAATGCCAGACACATACCAATTCCTAACTAGAAAATTTGGAGAAGATGACAATGGGAAGTAAAATCTCACTGTGGAACAAGCAGAAAATATCTTAAAAAACTATTGGGGATCAAATGAAATACTTACAGCCAACACCACCAACAATGAGGACCTCTGAAGAACCACAGAGAGACATTGTTCTTTCTGCAATTAAACAAGAGAGAAATTAAACATGAAAAAACAAAGTGTGTATATTGGCTTTTGGTTTACTTTGACTATTGAAAAAGTCATTTCAGGTTCAGACTTGCTGATCATTGATAGAGTCAATACAAGATAGGCATGTCTTGTCCCAGGGGATGCTGTTTGGAAATAGGATAAGGATTCATTTTTATTGAAATTCTGATTATAGCTGTCTTTATTCTCCTCAGCACTGGTTTTGTGAATTTCCTCATAAATGAAAATAGCTTGGAAAACATGCCTGGAAGCCTTAAAATGCCTTCTTAGCCTCTTTCAACTGGTGGTAGTCAATGACAAAGGGGATGAAAGGTGCCTTGGCATTGAGTACTGATTAACAAGTTAACCTGGGTGGCCATTACTACTGAGTTTGATTCTCACTTGATGCCTCATAAGTGATGGCCTTGTGCCAAACAGATGATGAAAGTCTTCTTTAAGTAGATATACATTTTCCACAGTGATCCTAGCTTACAGATTGTGGAATGTTGATCAAATAATGAAACCTTTAATAAATGACAATCTTCCATTCTGAATACATGATCTGCTCACCATAAGTTTATCAGCACTATTTAAATAAACTGGTCCACACACCAAAAAAAAAGGGAAAAATTATTTGCAGATTAGTATTCATTAGACCTTCCTTAAAACTGCAGCAATTGGTAGAATCAAAAAATATTGAATTTTTATTGATTTAGAAGGGAGGAGTGGCCTGATTTTAATATCAATATAGTCTCAAACTGAACACTGACTTTTACAGAGTTATTGAACTAGCTGTTTTTTGTATGAAAACAGACTTCTTGGATGAATTACAAAAAGATTTCTTTTAAATAAATATATATATTTTTAATTAAAGAATAAAATTTTATATAAATTGATAAAAGTATATATTCATTTATTCTTTATTTAAGATAAATAATTTAACTCAAATGTTTGCAAATGTGCTTTTAACTAAAAATTCCATACAGAAGATTAAAAAAATTCTTTTAAAAAAAAAAAAAGTTAAAAAGTTCAGAAAATTAAAAATAATGCAGATATTAATGATGTTACCACTTTCAAACTTTAGCTAAGTCCCTGTAAAAGTCAGGGATCGATTTTATACTATATAAATATTATAAACAGAACCCCCCACTTCAAAAATGAATTTTTTTTAAAATTCAATATTTTTCAAGTCAAAGTAAAGAATATCAAAAGAATGTTAATGTATAAAAATTATTTCCCCCAAAATACTTTTATTATTTTTTACGAGTGGACCAGTTTACCTACCCACATGTCTGTTGACATACTGAGGCCAGTCATTATAATTTGAAGCAAGGTTTTACAAAGCCAGATGCTCTTCTTGATGCCCAACTTAGACACTTATGGTAGTCCAAGTACCAAGAGAGAGTATTTTTATTGAGACACCATCTCTAGGAAGGTTGCCATTCAAGCCTTGAATGGCAACCTTCCTTACATATGTGTGTGTTTGTGTATACAGACATACACAGTGGGGAAGAAAGAAATATTTGTACACATACAAATTTTTAATTTATTGAATTTCCAACTAATGAATAAACATAATTGTCATATAATTAACTGTATATAGATGCATAATAACTAAATATGCATAGAAAACAGAAAAAAATTGATTTAATAGAAATAAATCCCATTTATCCATTTTAATGGGTGAAAAAAGTATTCGTACAATACAAGAAAGAATACATATCTTCATTTAATACTTTGTAGAATAGCCATTATTCACTTCTACAGCAACCTCTTTTTGTAGTTCTCAATTAATTATTCGCAAATTTTAGTTGGTATTTTGTTCCATTCTTTTTTGCATATGGTCTTCAGATCTGGGACGTTTCTTGGAGCTCTTGATTGGATTTGAATTTTCAAATAATGCCACAAATTCTCGATTGGGTTTAAACATGGCCATTTCAGGATATTTACATTATTTTCAGCAAGCCATTTCTTCATAGATTTTGCAGTGTGCTTAGGAATAATATCTTGTTAGAAGATCCAATCAGGAGGAAGTTCAAGATTTTCAACCAAAATCATTAAATTTGTTGCCAAAATATTTTGATATGTTGCGGCATTCATTCTACCATCTATTAGTGATATGTTGCCAGTACCTTTTGCAGAAAAACATCCCCAAACCATGTTGCTGTCACCCCCAAATTTCATTGTGGGAACTGAGCATTAAAAAGAGTAAAGTAAATGTTAAGCAGTGGTGAAGTCATTATTATACACTGATTTAGTCAAACCATTATTTACATTGGAGGCATGGTGGAGTAAGGGATAGCAACATAGATTGAGGTATCAGAGAGCCGAGTTTGAATTCCACTTGAATCCGTTACATTCACTTATGTGCTAATACACTTGGAAAAGGTATGAATCCTCTTCTTATCCCCCCAGTTATGGGTAAATAGCAAGACAGACTGGGTTCTATAGCCTTGGATGCCAACTGGTCTACTGCACAAAGAAATGGCAACCTACTGCGGGAGAAAATCTGCCACATCAGTCAAGTATTGAAAGATACATGATCGCCTAAGCATGGCACATAACTGACTGACTGATTATTCACGTCTTGGTATTTTATAAGCACAATGTTTCATCCATTATACTTGCTGGTATTTTTCAGGTGCCTGTTGTTTTTGGTAGCATTCTCAAGGTTTCAAATTCCAAGAATATTACCAAATATTTGGTTGGAAGGAAATTTCAAACTGCTTCTAAATAAATTTTATATTCTACAAACCACAAGAACTTTCAAGATACAATAGACACCTGAAAAAGTTTGGTGTGTACAGAGGCTGAAATGTTGTAATTTAAAAACCATGGTGAAACCAGTTCAAATAAATCAGTGTATAATAATAATAAAGATAATTTGTCATCTCAGAAATTCAAAGAGAAAGGATAAAAATCAATTTGCAGAATTGACTTACCTGTGATTTCAACCAACATTGCAAATACTGTTTCTTGTAATGAGAAACATAAATCCTCTGGTGTGTAATCATTATTTTTTAACCAAGTTGGGGCTTTCTCCTGTTAATTTAAAAGACAATTAATGGAAAATAAATTTTGTGTAAATTTTTTTTTTTTTTTTTTTTTACAGTAATGTTCACCCTGTACAAAGCCTAAGAACCACTCAAGGTAGATGTTTACAGAGTAAGAGGCAGATTTTATGGGGATATTTGGGAAAGATAACAATTAACCCTAGACTTGTAGTGAATTGAGGAAGCATCCTATTGAGAGTCAGTTCCACAAAGCAGCAGTTTGTGGGAAGAAGCTGCTCGGGTGAAACTTACATCTCACCAAAGGAATATGAAAGAAATGAGGGTGCTTTGCTACAATATGCATGGCATGGCGGGGTCTTAGTCTTGAATGTTAGAACTAGTGGAACTAAGAATTATAGTCTGAACACTTTCCATGCAATAGTGATAGAGCAGTGAGAGGTTTGCAACATTTTGTCTGTGAGAAAAGGGGTTGTAGAGTGGAAAATAATTTGTGACCCACAAAGACATGGAGACATTTTTGGACTCTATCAAGACTGGACAGTTCTTGCCCATATATGGAACCATTTTTGACCTGATCTGGCTCATGTAAAGGTAGAGGATAGAAGGAGGAGTCAAGTACTGAGTGAAGCAATACAGGGAACTGACCATTTTTCCAGTATTTTTACTGATGGATTGTATGTAGGAGTTTCACTTGAGGTCTCGGTTGAGTTTAAGTCCCAATAGGTACTCAAGGGTCTCTCTGAGGAAATTCTAGTCATGAATTAGTTTTCTTATATGATGTTGCTATAATCCATTTATAACATTGTAGGCATCAAGCTTTTTATTACTTATATTATTTAAGTTCAGACTATTGTCCTCATTTTTCTTGTTGTTATCACAATGTTTCAGCTGTTGTTCTCTCTAAAAAATAAAAACTAGATGAGATATCCCTAGACATGGGTAGTGGAACACAAATAGTCTACTCCCATAGATAAAATAAAGGCTTCAGTTCTGGATTCCCTGTAGGTTAATCAGATTGATATACATCTGATGAAGGCTAGAGAGTCCAACGGCTGAAACTACTGTGATAACAACAATAAAGATGAGGACAATAGTTCAAATGTAAATAGTGTAAATAATAACTCCTCATTCAAGAAATTAGACTTTTCATAATTTTATAATCTTATAATATTCAACAAAAGTGTTGAAAAGAAAAAGAAACTAAATGAAATCATCTAGACTATATAGCCAAAACACATATTGAAAAAAAAAATTTTAAACTAAAATTTCAGTGTTCCCTCTCCTTCATGTGCATATGTAATCATATCAGCACAAACATCAGTTTAGTCTGATGAAGTCCTAAAGCATGAAATGCATCACACAAAAAAATTTTGCAGCTTTGGCATAGATTTTCCTAAAATTATTCTGATCTATAAAAATTTATATATTGGTTTTCCATAGAAATATCTAAAATGTTGCAATGAAATATTTTTATCAGAAGATAATATAGATTAACCATGTGGTCAAAAATGATGACATATACGTAACTGACATGTTAATTTCTTACTGTTGTTAGAAAGTTTTCACAATTTTCCAGTTATTATTGCTGTACTCTGAGCTTTCATAAACATCATCAAACATTCTGCCTGTATCATAGCAAAGACAATGTCACCTGACATCACTAATGCAAGGGAGATAACTAGATGGGAAAAAATTAAAGACCAAAAATATACAAGTGCACACACACACACACACACACACACAAAAGAGTGTACTACTGAAAAATTGTCAGCCAAGACGGGATTCTAGAATAAATTCTAATATCTGATCATTTGGTCAGGTTTTAGAAAATTTGGTTGAGTTGACAAATTTTTTGCAACCTCACACACATATATATAATATATGCATGTTTCATTAAAAACGACAGACAAGGTACTACGGTTGAGCTTTTTATTTAATTTTTCTTGTGTTCTGACAAGAGCTTTCTTTTCTGGACAAAAAGTGTGTAGAACTAAAGCAAGCTTTTTCGGCTATACCTTTAGCCATTATCAAGGATGATTCAATTATCAGCTTAGTAGAGTGTGTGTGTTCTGTGTATGTTTCAGTGTGTGGTAGTGATGTTTTAGTTTCCAATCTGGTTGTTAAAGTTAATATTAAGGGTTGGCTTTTCTTTTTTATTATTAGAGCTTCCATTATTTTTAGTCTTTTTTTTTGCAAGTGGAAAATTTGTGTTTTTCTAAGTATGTTCCTAATAGTGTCGGGTAAATCTGAGTGTGTGTTTAAATGTGTTCTGAAAAAGATAGGTGTAATGTAAGACGTCTGGATAAACTTGTGGTTGTGTGGCGATGTAATTATTTATGAGTCGGTTTGGTGAGAGCATAAGTTCCTTAAAGAACATTAACTCATAGATAATATGTTCTTTTGTAATTTTGACAAGTTGGTGTGTTGTTATTTTTGAGGATAAAAAATCAAACTTATTATCTATTATAAAAAATTTAAGATGGCCAACCGTATCCTCAAAAATAACACACACCAACTAAGTCAAAATTACAAAGAAACATTATCTATGAGTTCAAACCTTTAAGGAACTGCGTTCCTCACCAAACGGACTCATAAATAATTACATCGGCTACACAACCACAAGTTTATCCAGACGTCTTACATTACACCTATCTGATCACAGTTCCATCAGAACACATTTAAACACACACTCAGATTTACCCTGACACTATTAGGAACATACTAGTAGAAAACACAAATATATTAACTGCATCCACTTGCAAAAAACGACTAAAAAATAATGGAAGCTCTAATAATAAAAAAGAAAAAGCCAACCCTTAACAATATTAACTATGAACAAAGCCACAATGTGCTAACCGTATTTGGAAACTAAAAACATCACTACCACACACTGAACATACACAGAACACACACACTCTACTAAGCTGATAATTGAATCATCCTTGATAATGGCTAAAGGTATATAAATGGCTTGGAAACACAGAACATTCGGACAGTTCTTACACACTCTTTGTCCAGAAAAGAAAGCTCTTGTCAGAACACAAGAAAAATTAAATAAAAAGCTCAACCGTAGTACCTTGTCTGTCGTTTTTAATGAAACATGATTAAAGGAAGGATTGCTGCCTAAATATAAAAATATATATATATATATATATATATATATATATATATATATATATATATATATCTCCAACACCAAAAAAGTGCATCAATTATTTTTTAACTTAATATAAAAAACATGAAAATGCAAAATTGGCAGACATTTGCTGATATCTCCTGATGAGTGGATCGAACAATTACACAAAGGTTCATTTACAGAACTCTGGAGTCAAGGTACTGAATATAACATCAATCAGCTAACAAATATTTTATTTGTATTAATCCTATAATTTTATATATATATATATATATATATATATAAGTTATGAAAAACTTGGTAATCTGTATGGGTAGTCCTATATATATATATATATATATATATATATATATATTAGGATATTACAACAAAAAATTTAAGGATTGCTACACAATTGCAATTGTGTTTCAACACATAATGATGCATCTCATTGCAAATTACTGGTGAGGGAACGCTTAATTTATATTTTAAAAGCAAAACACATCCTCATTTTTTGAAAAAAAAAATTATAAAATAAAAATAAAGGTTTGAGGGCTTTACCCTGATCAACCAATCGAATATGACTTATGTTAAATTCAAACTAAGCGAAAAAGAAAAAATTAAAATATTATCTTGCCTTGACACATTTGTAAGATAATAATTTCTATTTTTTTTTTCACTTAGTTTGAATTTAACTGTCATATAGGAAGAAAACGAGTAACTACAGACACCGTGGTTCAAGCATGACACTCTGGACTTATGAATATATGTTTTTTGCCAAGTGTAGAAATAGTGGTTTCAGGCTACTAATGCTGTGACTCTTGAGTAGAACTATCTAGTCAAATTAGTATGAATTATTGTGCGTCAATGATTTGGGTTTTGATTTAAGATTTTTTGGACATTAAGATGAACCGCACTACTAACAAGTTGTTCACTGAAATGGTTAATTATTTTTGGTTGACTTTTACTTCTTTACAGTAATTAAATACTATTTTATTTTAACATTGAAGTCTTGAGTTATACTTAATTATTAACAGCCACCGTACGTCCCAAAAGTGGCAATGAGGAATTCATGTTAAACACACGCAAGAAGAAAAAAAACATCTTAACAGGATATTCAGTGAATATTTATCACTTCAGAAAAGTGACGACACGAGGATATTCAAAAATCAATTCGGTCGACTGCAGAAAAATGGAAGAATTAATGTCTGTTATGGTTCAAATGTTGGAACAATAATTGCAACAACACAAATTTCTGGAATAATTATCACATAGAAAGAATGAAGAATTCACTAGAAAGAATGTCAGGTTTAGTCACACCAGATGCTGTCACCAATTCAATTAGTGAATTTTTATACAATCCAAACGAAGGAATAACATTTCCAGCGTATTATAGAAGATACAAAGAAATCTTCAAAAAGGATTGTTTGCCCTGGGATGATGGAAAAAAAATTTGCTTATTATTAAGAAAACTGTCTTCTGCAGAACATAAAAAGTACTTGAATTTTATTTTGCCAAAAAAAATCATGTGAAATAAATTTTGATGAAACTATTAATTCTGTTGGAAATTTTCAGTGATAGACGCTATTTAACACATTGGCAACGTCTTAACTTAGTAAAGGATGACAATGAAGATTTTGTCACTTATGCTGGAGTAGTGAACTGGGAATGTGAGAAATTTAAATTGAATGAATTAACACCAGATTTATTCAAATTTGTACATGGCTTAACTACTAATAAGGATGTTGAAATAAGAGCTAAGATAATGTCTAAATTAGAGATGGATTCTGTAAGCGTTCTGAAAGCAAAAGAAGTATTTGTCGCAAATTACTTCCACAACACAAAGAAAAATCACTGTAAGTACAGACTTGAATATCGGGGACAGAAAGAAATGCTGAAAACTCAATTCGCCGGTACTATCTCAAATCACAATACATGTAACCAGCCAGAAAAAATAACTCACTCTCTAACAAACGCCAAAACCAAAAATGCCCGAATTTTGCACTCTTGAATCGAGAACACCAACTGCTTTTATCGACAGAACCTATTTTTTTTCATTCGTCGACAGCTGGGATAGGATGTTCCGTAATTTGCATATCAAAATACTTTTATAGCAACTCCTCCTCCTTTTTTCTTTAATTCAATTATTCCATTTTCAGCATGTTATGCGGAATACGTGCCTTTCTGTTTAGTAAGTAATTTTCTTTTTCGCCACTTTTTCCGTCGTAGAATACACGCGACGTGCTGTCGCTTGGTTTGACAAGGTAAGTCGCCATTTTCTTCACTATAGATTCAAAATTAACTCTTCAGAAAATAGCTGAAGACTGTCAACGCATGTTTAATCTGAAACTCGATACTGCAAGGATTGAGGAAAGAGACATTTCACACATATGTAATGTTCAACCATTTAAGAAAAAGCAGTATAGACCTTCTGCAACACCTGAAAGAGCATTCAAAAAAGATTATACACCTTTGTCAATACTCAATGCTTGCCATGGTTGAGGTGGTAAACATTTTAAAAGTAATTCTTTTTTCAGGAACAAAAAATTTTATGAATGTGGGAACATTGAACACAAATTTACTCATTATAAATATAAAAAATGGAAAAAATAGAACTTATATGAATGTGGTAAATACTTTGTGTACAGTAAAAAAATATACAGAGAAAAATTCGTCGAACGTGTCTTTAACTGAGCTAGAAACATCTCAAAAGAGGAAATTTGTTTTTGTTAAAATTAATAATATAAAAATAAAACTACAAGTTACAACTGAATACAGGGTCTGATATCCCCATTATCAAAGAACAAACATGGAGGAAAATGAGTAAACCCAGTTTAGCAACTTCTGAAAAAAATTGCTTGTAGAGTTACAGGAAAGAAATTGGACTTTATGGGTGAGTCCAACTGTGACGTTTTTTTTTTTTGTTGGAAAAACTAAAAAAGCAGTTGTGTTTGTGGTAAAGAATACAGCTAATTTATTTGGAACAGATTGGATCGCATTATTTGATCTATGGGAACTTCCAATTACTTCGTTCTGCAACAAAATGTTGTTACCTCTGGTACTAATATGGCAGCCAAAAAATTAAATAAAGAATTAAAAAGAAGTTTCCCAGAAGTATTCTCAGGTCTAGGTAGATGCGCTAAAACAAAAGACAAATTTGAAGTAAAAAAATAAAAAAAATGAAACACCAGTTTTCAAACCAAAAAGAAGTGTACCTTTCATGGCATTGGAACCTATTAATAAAGAATTAGAAAGACTGGAAAAATTAGGAGTTATATCAAAAGCAGACTATTGGTCGTTTACATGAAGAAAAAAAATTAACAAAATCTGTGTATGTGCTGATTTTTTCAATGGGATTAAATGAAAATTTGAAAGAATGTAACTACACGTTATCAAGTCTGGAGGAAATTTTTATCAAATTAAATGGTGGTAAATTTTTTTTCGAAAATGGATCTTTCGAATGCTTACCTACAAGTACAAGTAGATGAAGCGTGTTCTAAACTTTTAACAATTAATACTCATAAAAGAATGTACAAATTTAACCAACTTCCTTTTGGTATAAAGGTAGCACCAAGCATATTACAACAGATTATGGATACAATGCTTGCAGGTTTGGATTGTGCACAAGCATATTTGGATGATGTACTTATAAAAATTGAAACCCAAAACCAGCATATGGAAGATGTGAAAAAAAGTTTTTCAAAGAATTAAAGACGACGGTTTTAACATCAGTAAAGAAAATTGTGAACTATTTATGAATAGAGAGAGAAATACCTAGAACAAATTATCAGCAGGAACAGAAGATGACCAGATCCTCCAAGGGGGAGCACAATAAGTGACATGCCCGCCCCAACAAATGTATCAAAGTTACAAGCATTTTTAGGGTTAGCTAATTACTATCATGTGTAGATACAAAACATGCATAAATTAACAGCACCCTTGAATAACTTACTATAGAAAGATGTTAAATAGAATTGGTCAAATAAATGTCAAAGTGCTTTCAAAGAGATCCAAAAAAAGTCCTAATGTCGGATTTGTCATTAGCTTCTTTTGATCCTAAATTAGAGTTTAAATGGAGTTTCTACCATCTAAAAAACTGAGTCATGTGGACAAACTGTCTAGATTAATACCAAAATTCTGTGAACCACTAGAGGACATAGTAATTGCAGTGATAAGGGCTGAAAATTAAATTAAAAATGTATTATATAATACAGTGAAAGAACTGCCCATAACATTTGAGGAAATAAGAATTAAAGCGGAAAAAGACAACTTTATAATGAAAATGTAGAAACAACTGAGATTTAAAGAAAAAATAAAAATATTGCTGGAAGTAATTCATTCTCAGTATGTGCTTATGTATGCAGAAAGAATTGTAATACCAGCATTGTTGAAAAAACATATGCTAAAAGAGTTTCACATAGGACATCCAGGAATTTCAAAGATGAAATCTTTAGTAAGGTGCTATATGTATAAGCTGAAAATGGACCAAGACGTTGAAAATTTAGTAAAATCATGCAGAAATTGTGCTCTGGTAGCGAAGGCACCACCTATTAAATTTCAAGCTTGGCCAAAAACTGATGTTCCATGGTCCAGAATACACATGGACTTTGCAGGACCGTTAAACAGAGCATACTAGCATTAGTAATAAATGTACAAAAATTCACTTCTTTTGAACAGAACCAAATATAGAACATAGATAAACTTTTCCAACATTCTCCAGCACTCATTAACTCCTTGCATCCTAGTAGCTTTATTGCCTTGCTTGGGGTGAAATGATTAAAAAAAAATTATTACTAATGCTAGTTGTGGTAGATAGTTACACTAAATGGCCAGAAATATTAAAATGTAGAAAACTGACTGCCACACTCACTATGAATTTCTTACACAAGATTTTTTGCAAGATTTGGGGTACCTGACACTACTGTTACAGACAACAGCACACAATTCACATCGAGTGAATTGGAGGGTTTCTGTAAATCATTAGCAATAGAACACATTACAACACCCCCTTATCACCCAAGAAGTAACAGACAAGCCAGGTGGTTTGTTGATACTTTTAAAAGGGCACAAAAATGTCAGAGGGAGAGGAGACAGATGAAGTAATGTTACAGCAATTTCTGAGCATTTTCAGAATGATGCCAAACCTGAACAATGTGTCTGAAATGTCGCTGACAGAACTGATGTTCACCAGGAAGATTAACTATATTTAACAAATTAGTACCAGGAAGAAGGCAATAACATCAAGGAATCAAAATATCATACATAAATGTTTTTAAGAGTTTTTTTAAAATGTACCAACATGGAAAAGAATTCTGGGAAGACAGTGTGACAAAAAAAAAACAAATTGGAAAATGACGTACATGGTACAGGGACAAAGGTGGGAATGTAAGTAACACCGTAATCAGTTAAAATGGAGATTCACTGATTTAGTAAGTTGATGAAAAGAGTTACTTATGGAAATATTTTAAGACATGTTTGACGTACTCACACCACCAGAAATTAGTGAACCAAGGAGGTACACTAAAAGAACAGCAACGGAACCTTTGAATATTGAACCCAAACTGAAGAGATATTGACTCCAGAGATTTATGATTCATCTCTGATCAGTCAAGTTAAATGTCCATATGCATGAGTAGATAAGGGTGAAAATATATTTTACAATTGTCATGTAATTTCTTTTGTTTAAATTCAAACTTGATTTGTTGTGTAATAGATTATTCCATTACAATAGATATGAAATTAAACTAATTCATTTATGTATCAGAGACTGAGGCAGGAAGAGAAATAAAGGTTGAATCAAAGACCTACCTCAATGTAAGAAAGGAGACCAGAGAATGAGACATCCATTCCCTTCACAACATAGGGAAGTTCAACAAATTTTTTCCCCCTGAAAAATAAAAATAAACATAAAAAAAACAGATTATAAAAATACATATCTGATGGTATTTAGGATAAGATAATATAAACAAAACAAACAAAAAAGATGATCCTGTAGTATACTAAAGATGCTCCAAAATTCTAGTCGAAAATATTAGTAAAAGTTAGTATACTTGATGGTATTGAAGACACCATTGTAAGAAGAAATACAAATTGAATATCCTTTATCTGAAATTCCAAAATCTGAAAGTTTTTCAGGTGCTAACATGACTTGCCACAAATTTAAAATTTCAGAAATTACTGGGAAGGTTCCTAAATGTTGTAAGTGACCTCATCTACCCTGGGTGGGGATTCCAGCTACATAGCCTACATTGGCTTCAGTTTTTTGTTAACAATTGTCACAGAAACACCTTTGTTCATGAATTACTAGATGTTTCGTGCTCAGTAAAGATATTATTCAAAATGTCAAAAAGTCCTGCATCTATATATCTTTTGTAAGTAGTGATCATGTTTTTTGTACACGTACAGAAAGTACAAAGCGTTATTTTTACGGGAAATCGTAATTTCACCACTTAAAAATTTGTGTGAGCATTACATGACTAGAGTCATTACATATTTATTAAATGTTATATAAAACTACCTTCAGGGTATATGTATAAGCTATGTTATGAAATGTAAAAGGATATCATGTTTATGCTTGGGTTCCATTCCCAAGCTGCCCCAATTTATAGATGCTATATACAAATTAAATAACCTGTATTCCAAAATCAAAAAAATCTGAAAACTGAAGCACTTCCAGTCCCAAGAATTTTGTATAAAGGATTCTCAACCTGCAGTAAGAAATAATTTGTTGTATGTTTTTTGGGGTTTTTTTTAATCATTTCACCCCAAGCAAGACAATAAAGCTACTAGGATGCAAGGAGTTAATGAGTGTTGGAAAATGTTGGAAATGTTTATCTATGTTCTATATTTGGTTCTGTTTAAAAGAAATGTATTTTTGTACATTTTATTACTAATTTATTAAACTCAAATATTTATGAGGAAATACAGATCTTATTTGCTATCAAATATGGTAAAAACTGTTAAGGAAGGGACTTATCTTCACATCTAAAAGGAAAGGTGTTTTTTTTTTTTAGTTATTTTTCAAGAAGAAAGTATTATCAATAATGTGTTAATGCCTTTTATTTCCAATAAAACTATACCAGAAACAAGGGGTATAATTACACCATTGGACAGAGTAAGTTTTCTGCTAAAAAACAGTAATTAGAGAAATACATCTCTGATAACTTTTATGGCAGCAAACATTATAGCTTAGCCATACACAGGGAAACCCAGAACTACAGAATTAACCTATCACACCACATGATTCTCTCCCTACAACAATAGCAAGGAAAAACCAAGCACTACACAAAATCAAAAGAACTTTATGGACATACACCCATGCCAACTTTACTGGGTGTCTCTCCGTAGGCTATGGTGCTATTCACAGTTGGGTGTATCATTGTAGTTTGCATTGTGATTACCAGCAAGTGAAAAATGATTTACTTTCTTCTGTTCTTGCCAAGCTGTGGTGTTCTTTTTGTCTGGATACTGGGTGAATAATCCCTTTGTAGGAATAGACAGCTTGACAAGTGGAATTATCTTCAATAATAAAGATTTATTAAAAAGAACAACGAGAATTGTCTGGTGGAACTACATAATTTCAACATGGGTAGTAGGTATGGGAAGGTAAATTAAAAAGATGTTGGCTCTTGTCTTTTTTCCAGTTTAGCATTCTGCTACCTGGAAATTTGTGGAAGCAAAATTATTTTTCAGGTGTGCTTGACGCAACAAGCTAATTGACACAACTGGCAACCAAAATTGGGCTCAAATGGTCTCCACATTACATCAACTTGTATTTATGGAGGATTCAATTTGCACATTTTGCATGATCAGAAGTGACAACATGTCCAGGGCCTGATAAATTCCTTTGTCTGTCTCCAAAATTACATATGAATATGAGCAGATTCGAGAATAGTTTGATTTAGGTCAATGAAAAGAAGCTAAAATTCCTCTGTCAGAATTTCAGTCTAGCTCCACTTGATATGAAACAATAACATGTGAATTTGGGTATTACATTTCTGAACCCTTTACTTAGAATTTTGTTTCAAATCCTCAGTTTCAATTAGAAATTTTTTAATTTATTTTTATTTTTAAAGCGGATTTTCAACTTGTGCTTCATTCCAAAAATTATATATTATATTCAATTTAACATCACCCTCTCTTTCCTTCTTCACTCCCACCTTATACATGCTTTTAAATATACTGCCTCATGTTTTAATAAAATTGTTTTCCTAAGACAATTACGTTGTCACAATCTGACAGCTGGCAACACTAAGGAAGATCTTTGTAAGTTGACTTTCTTTCATACACGATTTCTTTGTCAAACTATTCAAGTTCTAAAAAGCAAATAATGTAAATAAATTTGTTATATGCCGATATAACTTGTTTTCTCTTTTGACATCCCACTACAGATATCTGAAAGTCACAATTCAACAAAGGCATATTTCACAAACTTGGCAGACATATGCTAAGTATGAATCCTTTTAGTTAAGTTACATTTCATATATCACAGGACAAATGTTCTAATTCAATCATTCCTATCAAATCATGAAATGAAGGTCATTTTGAATAGGCCCACTTCCAGATTCTTCCACACAAATGCAGTTGTCCCACAAGGCTCTATCCTGGGTCCTATACTGTTTCTGATCTTCATCAATGAGCCCCCTGATGTCATCAGTTCCCAAATAGGTATTTATGTACCGTATATACTCGCGGATAGTTTGCACATTTTTTACCAAAAATTTCACAAAATATTAGGGGTGCAACCTATTCACTCAACATAAATGTAAAACAACACTACCTTGTCATCATGATTTCTGAGAAATCGGAAATGATACCCATAAACACTAAAGCTGTGGTTTTTCTCCGTATAGAAACAATTTACCTATCATATATACTGAGTCACTGCTTTAAACTTACTTCATGCTGCTAGATTCACATATCCATCACAATAAATAAATAAAATTATAAAATATTCATTGATCCATCAGTCACCATTTGGGTCTGGGTCTGGGTCTGGATCCTCGCACTAGACTGATATAGAAACACTGAACATGCATACATAAGTTAAGGAACCATGTGTAGATATTTCTTGACAAAGAAAAAAATAGTTCCACAATTCATTCTTCAAAATATATATATTTTGTTAAAAATACATTGGAAAATATGACTTAAAGAAATTAAATATATTCTTTATGAGATAATTTTCTTTAATGGCTGTTTCATATAACATTAAAAGATGTTCTTAAGTGTTATTTGCAAATAACAAAGTGTATGAATCTTGAAATCAAAACGTTTGCACTATTTTGCATTGCTCAGCGATATAGTTGGTAGACAAATTTCTTTTTTTTTTGTCAAGTTGACTCAATACAAAAATAATATGCGGTAAATATAAAAATACCAGTACAACAGTTACTTCCTTTTGTTTACATGATGATTGACAAAATGTATATTAACTGCAAAAGTGTATTAAGAATTGTAATTTTTTGAAATAAAAGGTAGATATCTGATAATTCTTACATTTAAAAAGGGCTGTGTAACTCCCAAGATTATAGTGTAACCTATCTGCGAGTCAATAGTAAATCAGCAATTATTAAGCCATAAAGCAGGGGTGCAACCTATATGGTGGGGCGACCTATCCACGAGTACATATGGTAAATAACACTACCATTTGCTTCTGTCTCATTAGTAAACCTGGCAGCTGCTCTTGAAAAGGACATCCAATCAGTGGTTAACTGGGACAATAAATGGCTTGTAAATTTTAATGCTTTCAAAAGCAAAAACTGCTTTTATCAACCACCATAGAGAACCTTTTCTGCCTGCCATCAGTATGACTGATGCTAGACTCCTAGAGAGCAACACACTACATCTTCTTCACCTCATGTTTTCCACTGGTTTGAAGTGGAATGAATACATAAAATCAATAGCTGCATCTACTGTAAGGAAAGTTGGGTCCCTTTACCGTGCTAGAAAATGTCTTGTAAAATTATCTTGAACATTTACAATTCATCCATGCATTGAATACTGTTGCCATATCTGGTCTAGTGCTCCTGCTGTACATCTTAAGATTCTTGACAAAATCCAAAAAAGGATCTGTAATATAATCGATCTTGACCAGGCATCTTGACTTCAGTTACTTTCTCACTAATGTGATGTGGCTTCCCTCTGTCTTTTCTACAAATATTTTCATGGCAATTGCTCTGACAATTTTTTTTACTCTGGTGCCCAACTACATGAAGTGTGCTACTAGATAGAAAGCTATGTCCTACATTTTTACTGTTGAAATAGTGAAATGCAGCCATCATTTCTACTCCAACAGTTTCTTTTTTTGCACTTCTCACCTGTGAAACTCCCTACTGTTTACTTGCTTCTCTGATAAGTACAATCTTCAAAAATTTAAATGCAACATCAATCACCATCTTCTGTCTTCTTAAATCTCATTCATCTTTGCATCCTTTCCTCAAGCATCCCTATTCTTAGTCTTTTCTTTCACTTTTATTCCCTGTAACCCCCCATGTGCTAGTGGAATTCCCATCTTGCTTGGGGTGAAATGATTAAAAAAAAAGGAAAAGAAAAAAAGTGTTTTAAGCCAGACACACACACACAGAGGTTGGAAATGTTTGATTTTTTCCAGCAAAAATGGATTTGGAAAGTTAATCTGGTACCAGTCCTATCATAAATCCTGGCACCATTATGGAGAAGCATGTTACAAATGTCCTCTTGAAATTGCCCAAAAAACAGAAACATTTTCAACAATCTGTGATTAATTGGTGAAGTTTTAGAGAAATGTAAAGGCAAATATTCAGAAACAACCTTTGCTCATTTAAAACTACCATATTTTTCCATATATATGATGCATCCTTATTTTGGAAAAAATAAAGTTAGTCATATTTAGAAAAAAAAAATAGAAGCTACAGTTGTTTTTTGGCAGTTCTATTTCCATGATCTTTTGCACATTTAATCACACTTAATTTGTTCTATGTATGATAGTCTCGATTTTTAGACAATTGCAAGGGGTGAAAAAATAAAATAAAAAATGAAAACAGAATGAAAAATGAAGAAACAAACTAGTTTGCTTCCTATGCCATACAGCATATTGGCTTTTGGTGATGCATCCAACTTGATAGTAAGCATTCTGATTGAAAAAGCACATTGCTCAATTGAAATCCATATTATTGTTATAAATGAAAACATACAAATGAAATAATGAATCCATGTCTATTTAAATATATTTACACATGACTTGCATATATAATTAATACTTTTGATTTATATGACAGAGATCTTGGCATCAAATTTGGACATAAAAGTAAGTGCATCTTATATACCAAAAATACAATAGGTTGGATTTTGTGAAGATTACCAAGAGGAAATCAATTACAAAATATTTATAGTTATGTTGTATTAGTTATAAAAAATGTTTTATGAGGGGACACTATTTAAGATAATCTTACTTTTTAGCATATTGTTCAATATTGTAGCCAGGGCTTGGATCATTTGAGAGCTGAAATGAATAAAAAGAAATTTATTATATATTTAATGCTGTTACAGAATGTGAAGGTGTTATACCTGACGTACCTATTCTATTATTAATAGACTCTCCCACACATAATAAGTAGTAGTAGTAATAGTAGTAGTGGTTGCCAGTTGGGCTCAGTAGTGTTGAGTGAGTCAGTCGATATCGGGCATTGAAGTATCAACTATCACAACTAGATTGCTGCGTCATTAACTCATATTTCAAGTTCCTAACGTTTTTGTACGTCGAACCTAATTTAGGACGACTTAGTGAAATACAAGCCTCCACTGTGAAAACTACTCTACAACAGAAGGCCAGGGCCAGAATGGTCAGCAATTGGCCAGAGTAAGAATGCAAAAAAAAAAAAAAAAAATTTGTATTAATCTATGTTATTAGTTCACAATACTAATACACAATATTAGTTTTCTTTAACACTTTCATTAGTTTATTGCATAATTAGGGTCCACTACTGTCTGTGTTCAAATAAAAAAAGACATTTTAACATGGTCTATATAAAGTCATCTCCCTCCATAGAGTACTTTTATTTATCCAAATAGGAAAATCTTGTATTAATAGGTTTTTGTTCAACTATATTTTCTGGTAATTCAACTAATGTGGTAATGTGACAGTGAAAAGATTTATTAAATCCATCTATGGAAGACTTTAAAGGCTAAATACAGTTGTTTTGAATACTGACCCTAATAAGGTATTAAATTCTGAACATTTTTTAAAACAAAATCATATATTCCACTTCCTTCAATTTACACACTTTCCAGTTGAATGGGAACTAGAATGAGATGTAATGTTTAGCAGGGCTGTCCCACTAGATCAATTACAATTGGGTAGTGAGTTCAATATTCACAGGACGCCACATACTTTTGGCCTTGTGCCACATCTAAGCTACACTTAGAAAATAAAGGGCATTTCGATGTCGTGCAATAGTTAGCAAGCCGTTTTTCTAGATCAGTTATGACTAAATAGTGAGTTTGCTCCTCACTCGGTGCCACATACTTTCGGCTTAGTACAACATCTAAGTTACACTTTCCAGTTTGATCCCTTTATTATTTTAACCTAAATTCAGAAAGAACAGTAACCCTTTTCCTGTGACATGTGATCTGCCATGCCTGATTTTAGCATGTATCAGATTATGACTTTTTAAAACTCTTCAAGTCTTATCATTATGGAACAACTAGTTTATCCTTAATTTGTAAATTACTTAAAAATAGTTTTAAAGAAATTTTAATTTTAAATATTTTAAAGGTGAATCCAAAGATACAAATTAAAAATCTATCAGAAAGAGTGTTCAGCGAAATACAGATAATACAGTTTTCTTACCTTAAGGACTCGAGCAAACCTATCCAGACAATTACCAACAGCAATATCAATGGTTTCACCAAATATTCGGTAGCGTTGCTTTGAATAAGAAATAACCTGTAGGAAAAAATAGAAACAATGTAAAATGCACTGCTAGAGATAATGTGCAAATTGGATTAAGCTGTTTGCATTTCTTAAATGAAGGTTAGGATGTTGTATTTTATAATATATCAGCCTTTGTTGGGTTATTTAATGTTCAAATCTGTTATTTATTAGAGATAAGTCTACAGGGTTGGGGTGTGAGATTTTATGACATATTAGTCCTTGATGAGTCAATTTTTTTAATCATTTCATCCCAAGCCACTAAGATGCAAGACTGAGTATGATAGAATATGAGAAAAAGGAAAATAATTAAGGAGAGAGAACTATAAAAGAACAGGAATTAAAACAATAAAAGATAATGATTGACATTGCATTTAAATTTCTCATCAAATTTAACTGGAAAGTAAGAGGCTGGATGAGAGTACCACAAACAGGAAGTGTGAGAGAAGAAACTGTTAGCATAGAAGTTACTGTTATTTGATGTAAAAATCATTTTTTTTATACTTCAGTCTATATGTAAACATTGGTGGGACCAATGTTTACATATAGACTGAAGTATAATAAAAAATGATTGAATCCAAGATGCCTGGTCAGGATGCATAAGACTGCAGATTCTACTTTGAATTTTGTCAAGAACCTCTAGATACATATCAGAAGAACTAGATCAGATGTGGCAACAATATTTGATGCATGAAAGAATGGTAGAATTATAAACATGCAAGATAGATTGTCAAGATAAATTCTCTAGCACAACCAAGCAAACCCACTTTCCGAGCAGCAGACTTTGCAGTTGATTCAATATAATCATTCCACTTTATGTCAGTGGAAAATGTTAAACCAAAAGGTCATGATGAGTTACTCTCCTGGAGGTTAGCATCAGCCATAATGAGGGAAGGCAAATAATATATGAATGAGAGGTTTACCAAAAAGAGATTCACCCCACAAAAATTTTAGATTTAAATTTCTTTTTTATACTTACTTGTGTATTGCCTCCACTTACATAAAGAACTGTTGGATTCATTGCACCAGTAATAAGGCGCCCCATTTCAATATGTGTTTATTTGTTAAGGTGAAATAATTTTATATATATATGTACGTGTGTGTGTGTATATATACATATATATATATATATATATATATATATATATATATATATATGTATGTATATATATATATATGTAGATATGTATGTATGTATGTATATATATATATATATGTATATATATATATATGTATGTATGTATGTCTTAACTGTATAAGGATTTCCTCTCCCACTCCCTCATATAGCTACATGTTAAGTGTTGTGGAGTGATCTCACAGTGGAGGCTTGTATTTGTACCAAGTCGGTCTGAAAATAGGTTTGACGTACAAAACGTTAGGAACTTGATATAATAGGTATAATGCAGAGTAATCTAGCTGTGGACGCTGATACTTTAGTATTCGACTGCCATCCAACATCGACTGACTGACTGACTCCTTCGTTACTCTTACTACTCCTACTATTATAGGTGGGAGAGCCTATTAACTATAGAATAGGTGTATTCTACTATAACATTAAGCCAACTACTTTCTAGGCTCTCACACTCTTATTAGCTTGTTAGCATTTCCCAATGTGTATTGTTTAAACCTCAGCCCTACCGTTTACAAAAAATATTTTATTATATGTTAAATAAAACCCACTCTTTGTTATTACATGTAATCTTTTCTTTCAACTTTAATTTCTAAGAATCTGTTTCATCTTATTTTTGTGTTGTGCCAGCTATAACAAATGAAATAAATTTTTAATGGCAGTTACCTTGGTCTTTTAACCTTTAAAATATGGGTGGTATTTCTGCCACACTCTATAGTTACATGTTTAGAATTTAGAAGCTCAGGCTAATTCAATAGCGTATATTACTATATGAGCAGTTGGAATTATTAGATTTGATTGTAAACAAATACATGTATTTAGTCAGCAAGATCTGGCTGATACATCGGGAAGAGGTTAAAAAGAACACCAGAAAGAGAAAAACAATAGTGTTGACATTCATCTATTGTAATAAACCTAACTAACCTCATTTCAATTAGGTTTAGGGCCATATCACATTGTAACACCAAAGTCAACCAACATCAAGCCTGGTCAATACCTAGATGGATGATTGCTTGGGAATACCAAGTGCTGTAAGCTATGATGTGTAAATAGTTTAATGGACAATGGCTTGGAATTGTTAATCAGAGAGACGATTTCCAATTCCAGTTGGGTTTGTTATATTCACTTACACACAAATACATTGGAAATGGTATGATCCACCTCTTCTCACCCCAGCTATGGGTTAATAGTAATTGTATCACTAAATCATTATTATCTAAAAAGAAAGATTCTTACAATCTAAAAATATTATCTGGCTTTTAAATAACCTGCAAAAGGTTGATATGCTGCAGAAAACAAATCAACCAATGAAAACTCATTTCAGTTATTTCCATGTTCTGCAGGTGTAAATTCAGTTTGACCTTTGTCACATTCCAAAAACCCCAAATATCAATCAGCACCCCCTCTATAAATTGACCAGCATTAAAATTGTTCTCATTAATATCACACCAAACTTCTGACTGTTCCTTTCACTTTCATTTGCCTGTGTTCCCAAATTAGACACCTGTAAGTAAATAATCTTCCCACCACTGGAATTACATTACATAACCAACCAATTGTAGATGCCAGAAAATTTTAAGAAATGCTATTTTAATGGTGGTTATTGCATAAAGATGTTCAGTGTATTGAAAGATTTGTTCAATGAACTTTAAATAAAATAGTTAGAAACTTGAAAGGATATGTCCAATGCAGTGATTAACAGCAACTAATGGCTTTTTCCATAATTGAGCAACTGTCCGTGCAACAAGAGCTGTAGACACAAGAGGTCCACCCATGCCAGGACCTGAAAAAAGAAAATCATATCAATAAAAGATGAATCCCAAAACAAATGTCCTAGTTTGCCAAGCTTTTTTTTTTTAAATTTTTGTTTGTATAGAAAGGATTTATAGATATCTTGTAAATATTCAATAATAAGCGAGAAAAAATATCAATGTTTACGTTTAACCTTTAGCTCTGTATATTATTCATATGTATTACTTCTCCTTCTACTATATAAGGTGGCTCCTTAAATACAAACTGCAGCAGCTTTGATCTGGATTTAAGTCAAGGCTGTTTTTTTTTTTGCTGTTGCTATAGCAGGATGTGACAACACAATTGTGAAATTTAAATATACTGTTATTTAACAATTGGAGTGGCAGGACAAATGCTTTCCTTGGTGATTAAAGTTGCTTAAAAAGTGTTTACAGTTAAAGAAAACATAAAAAATAATCTAGGTTTCTAAATATAAGCTGTTTTGGGGAGTTTTTTTTTTCTTCTCTCAAATGGGCCTAAATAAAATATTTACTGAATTCTATAATTTTAGGCACAACAAAGTTATAAATCTGATGCAGTTGTGCTAATAGAATATGAGAGAAGAACTAAATATCCCTTAAAGATTAGGCTTGAAGAGAAGTGTAAGTTATAATCTGAGATGAAAGAGATGTGAATATTATTACTATATGGAAAACAGTAATCTTTCTATGCCGTATCCCTTCAGGATGGAGGCAATCATGGCTCTCCACAATTTCCTGTCATTTGCAACTCTTAGCAAATTTGTCTTTTTACTATCTCTCCTGTTCTACCATTTTCCTTTCATGTACTCTGTCTCTTCAGGGCGTAGGCAATCATGGTTCTCCACAACTTCCTGTCCTTTACAGCACTTAATAAATTTTGTCTTTTTATTTCTCCTACTTTATTCCGCCATCCATTTACTCAAGCTCACCAAGCATATTATGTATCGTTTTCCTCTGTCCCTCTTGCCTTCAAACTGTCCTGTGAATATCAGATTTTCCAAGCCCACTTTCATCATTGTGTGTCCAGTAGTTTCAACTGTGTCTTCCTGATGTTAAGTATAAGTTTTCTTTTTTTCCCATTTTCTCTAAAACTTTGTTGTTGCTCAGATTCGACATCCTTCTGTAGAACCACATTTCTGTTGCTTCTAGTGTCTTCTTCATGTTTGATTCACTGCCATATAGGAGGGCAGATATCACATAAAAGTTCAGTACACTTTTCTTTATTTCTAACTAAATTTTTCTGTTTCTTAATACTCTGCTTAGAAATTAAATATTGAATAAGAATGATAGCTGTTAGGTCCATCCATATCTGAGACATATAAAAAAGTGGTGGTTAAGAGTTTCCATATATACAAGACAAAAATTAACATGCACACTAGTTTTTTAGACTCTTTATGAATTTTAGCATCCAAAACTAATTTTATAAATAAAAATAATAGGATCTAAAATAAAACATTTTAATTTATCAATATTACAATAAATGTTTCCAAATCTTTAAACAATATTTATTTACAATATTGATAATCACCAAGTTATTAATCATCAATAAAAGTTTCTTCATCTACATGGTATTTTATTTTAATTGTTGCTCCCCAAGCATCATGTCTGGTGTTTCTGCTATGTATTAAGAGATTCTTAATAAAATACAAAGAATCTGTATCTCAGTTTCATTCACTTTCTCCTCCAATGTAACATGCCTTTCCTGTAAATATTTTTATAGTAATTGTTTTGATGAACTTTCCTCTATGGTACCTAGACTTGATGAATTTAAGTGCAGTACGAGATTGGAGGCAAGGTCTCACCAATTTACAGTCAAAATGGCTAGATGCAACTGCAAGTTCTATGCTAACAATTTCTTCTCTCACAGTTCTCACTTACAGAACTCACTTTCAGCTTCTTGCTTTCCAGTCAATTTTGAGCTCCAAAAATTGAAGTGTAATGTTGCTATCTTTTGTCTTAATTCCTGTTCTTTTATTGTTCTCTCTCCTTAACAATATTTTCTTTTTCTCATTCTCTTACACTCTATAACTCCTTGTGGCTTTATTGCCTTTCTTGGGAGTGAAATGATTAGGGAAAAAAAAGGCCAGGCAATAATTTTACTGGGATACAAAGAGTTATTGAGACTGAAATAAATTGAGCAAATATTAGGGAGGAGAAAAGACAATAAAAGGACAGAAGAAAAGATAACAATTGATATTGTATTTAAACATTTGAAGATCATAAGTGACAAGAAAGCAAGAAGCCTGGAGAGAATTCCACAAGCAAGAAGTATGAGAAAAGAAACTGTTAACATAGAACTTATGGTTACATCTAGCAATTTCAACTGTAAAATGATGAGACCTAATTGCCAACCTAGTACTAAGTCTAAATTCATGTATTTGAGATACCAAGGAGGATAGTTCAGTACAATTGCCATGAAAATATTTATAGAAAAAATACAACATTTACAAAGAGATTAAAAAACAAACTTATTTTTCTTGTTGAAATACATGCTTAAATAGAAAATAAAAATTTAGATATGCAAATCACTTTTTCATGCAAATTTTTTGTTATGATTGTATTTTTATCTAAGGCTATTTCAAGAAATTTTCTTAAAATATTTAAGCTTTTTTCCCCATCTCAATTTTCAAGAGTTTGTAAGTTGATGTTGAAGTACTTTCAGAAAACTCAGGTAATGTTGTAAATTTTATTTGACAATGGGGTTTGCTTGTTAATATCTTTGTAAATGTTAAGAATCTTTTTTTAAATATTCATTTCAATGTATCACTTTTTAGATCAAAACTTAATTTTTAAATATATATAAAATAATATTAAAAATGAAAATTTGATTGTTTCGTGTATTTAGTGTACCATGTCAACAAAAGTTTGTTAGCCATTAACATCATTTGTTGCATATTTTTATATTATTTTATGTTATCTTAATTCATGACACTTTTTAAATAATTATTTTCATTATGTCACTTTTTCATATAAAAATCTATTTGTTGTATAATAAAAATGTAAACAAATCCAAAAATTAGGTTGCTTATTTTCCACCAAATTGATCAACATTTAACCACAAATAACTTAAATTCTGTTGATTTTATGATCATAGTTCTTATTAAATATTAATTCAAAAAA